CACACTTGTAATGATGTCAGCAGACTGCTTGTTTTTATGAGTCTAACAGCATGCAGAGTTACAGCTTCAGGCTTAAATATAGTAGGATTTTGCTGTATTTATGGAGGCATGAGGGGCCCAGGGGGGCTAGATGGTGGTGTTAACACTATAGGGTCATGAATTCATGTTTGTGTTCCTGACCCTATAGTGATCCTTTAAGGTAATGCTGACTTTGGTCTCTCTAACACTGTGGCATGTTCCCTTTCTCCTACACTCACTACATACAGCTTTTCTCTGTCCCATACCATATACCAGGAGCTTCTGCCTGCTAGTTAGAAGGTAAGGAGACAAGTGGCCAGCGAGTGCTTGTGGACAGTCCTTAGAAAGCGTTGAGCGAGCGCATCATTAGATGCATTTATGCCAAGCTCAGGGTGCTGTCTGCATAGTATGCCCTTAGTTGGCCAGCTGCATGATTGGCAGGCAGCCTGACATGCATTCATGCCAGGCTGGCCTTCTAATTCTTTGATCAGACATGTCCTCTTTTTGGGCATGTTCGCCCCTTTTGGCAGGTTACGTGATTTGTGTCAGTGGCACACCCTTTTACCATGCCCATTGACTTCCTGCTTGACTGGACACTGCTGTTAGGGGTTATGGATTTACTTGAAAGATGAAAACATACATTAGAAAGAGATTAGGCTAGGGTATGTGTTTTCTTATAGCTGCTGTTTTCTTTCTCTCCAGCCCCATCTCCATCAGATACATGATGCTTGGGAGTGTTTTACTGTTTTTGGTCGATATGATTCTGTAATTAGGCCCGTCATAATTGTCAGCACCAGGCCCACTGGGCTCTTAATCTGGCCCTGGCCAGGGCACAAAATGCAAATGAGGAGAACAAAAACATTGTTTCAGTTTCTCCTCTTCCACTAACTATATTCAGTGGCAGAAAAGGACAACGTTTATTAACGATGACTGACATGGAATCAAGATGGAAGCGCCCAGTTCCTGGATAGATGTGTGGATTTCAATATTTTAATGTTTTTCAGCGCTTCTAGAAACACATTTTGCTGGCAAAGTGGCAGTTCTTTTTAAGCAAGGTACAGTAGGGCAAATATAGGGCCATATTCAGATCAAGTAGCCTCACCTTCCATTAACACAACTTGCATCAGCAGCATCATCTTTAGGCATTTCAGACAATGTCAACCAATTGATATAAATTCCACTGTGCCAGAAGACGCGAGTATGCAAGTTTGACATGTGGGACAGCCATTATTTAACAAAGAGGAGAGGGAACAAGCAGCGTTTGGAACATATTCTGTATCGGACAGAACAGTTTCAGTGGTAAGAAGTCTTAGTAAAACACAGGGTCAGATGGTCAAAAATACATTTTATTTGATTAAAAATAGGTTTTTGGATCAATCTTTGGATAAGACTGCTATATATTTTATGATGTTGTATGGATATTCACTTTCTCAAATAATTTTCATTCACTACAACAACCCCACACCCTCCATATAGTACTTCTCGTAAGCTTTGATGAGGATTCACGTTATTCTAAATATAGTAAATTATGGGATTTTCAAATCTACATTTTTCGAAGTATAACAACTTTTGGCGTTTATTATGAGTGTTGTAATAACATTACATTACTGCAAATGTTTTTGGGGGATTTTATAATCAGTGAACAGTTCTGGAGAGCAAATTACAATTTTATTCTTTGTAGCTTCTAAAAAATAAGGCTCCGGAGAATATAATGGTTTTTCATAACCCCTTCCCACTGTGCAATCTGAAGAACACGTGAGATGTTTTTTTAAAAAGTAGCAGAAATATGGAATTTTTCTCTCTGACTTCTTGCTTTCACTGTGGGCATGACTGGTGGACTAATTGGTTGTTATCGGTAGTCACACTCTGTTACAGCTATTTATTCAAAAAAGGTGCAGTTGTATAGCTTCTTGTGATGATGCATTCTACTTGTCTAGAAACTTTTTTTTTTTCCATATTCTCTACTAAACTAATGATAAAATGTTAGCATTCCTTGCAAGTGGCCTCGGTTCTCAGCTGCTCTGCATGGTGTTTCACTAGTGTAAATCCGTTGTCAGCTTTTCCAAACAGCAGGTTGCCTTGAAAGAATGAATAAACCTAGTCAGCGTTTTATAATCAGCCCTCTTTCGCGTTTGCCGGAAGTATGTATATTTATGAATTGGAAACATGTCAGGGAGCGCTAGGACATCTATATTCAAACACAGAACTTGGTTCATATAAAGCAATTTCATTTTCTCCCTGCAAAAACCAAATCTACACCGTCATATTTATTTATTCTAAAGAATTCTTTGTTTGGTTTTGATCAGTAATAGTCTTTTCATCTTGGCAACTATATGTGCTTTTTGCTTAACCAGATGCTCCTTTTTTGACCTTCCCAGGGACAGAACTTGCAATATGAACATGTCCTGATACTAGGTGCATGATAATTAGAAAACTAATTGCTAAGCTATCTGTTTTATTCTGTCTTATTGTTTAAAGCACACAGTGGTTTTATTACCAATCTATTTCAGCTGTTAAAGACTTTTTCTTTGTGTAAGAGACAGCAAGCTGAGTATTCGATTTGTGAATATTGAATACTGATGAATAGTTTGCTATAGATTTAAATAAAAGCTTTAATATATTCCATGTGCGCTTCTCCATAAAGCTACACTGGGTGTAGTTTCCCAGTCCCAATGAGTCCTGCAATGTAATTAATGTAGTTTTTCTGATTCTTGGATGTCTCAGATGATTTACATTGCAGCACTAAGACTGCCTCTAGTGGCTGTCAATCAGACATCCTCAATGAGGCACTTCCTGCTTGCAAACTGACTTTTGGGTTGTCTAACTGACTCTGGACGTACTCACACTCTGCTTGAAAACATTCAGCATCAGTTAAATTCCCAATAGGAAACCTTTGAGGCAATGCTTTCCTGTTGGGAGGGCCTAATGGATTTGGCGCGCATTAAGTGCCCCTTGTTGGATAATGTCGGAGGACAGGGGGCGCCAAGGAACTTGCACGCAGGAACCAGGTAAGTGACTAAAAAGTTGTTCAACCCTTTAGCTGGCGGGGGGATTGAGGGGTTGTAAGAGAGAGGGGACCAGAGCTCTCTATAGTGTAAGGAATACAGATTTGTGTTCCTTACACTATTGAATCTCTTTACATAGAAACATAGAATGCGACGGCAGATAAGAACCATTCGGCCCATCTAGTCTGCCCAATATTTTTAAAATGCTTTTATTAGTCCCTGGCCTTATCTGATAGTTAGGGGAGCCTTCTGCATATCCCACGCGTGCTTAAACTCCTTTACTGTGTTAACCTCTACCACTTCAGCTGGAAGGCTATTCCATGCATCCATTACCCTTTCAGTAAAGTAATACTTCCGGATATTATTTTTAAACCTTTGCCCCTCTAATTTAAGACTGTCCTTGTTGTGGTAGTTTTTCTTCTTTTACTGTGTTGATTCCCATTATGTATTTAAATGTTTCTCTCATATCCTCCCTGTCTCGTCTTTCCTCCAAGCTATACATGTTAAGATCCTTTAACTTTTCCTGGTAAGTTTTATCCTGCAATCCATGAACCAGTGTAGTAGCCCTTCTCTGAACTCTCTCTAAGGTATCAATATCCTTCTGGAGATACGGTCTCCAGTACTGAGTACAATACTCCAAATGAGGTCTCACCAGCGTTCTGCTGATCTATTACATTGTCTGCCTACCTTTAAGTTATCAAAATTAATCACCCCTAAATCCCTTTATTCAGATGTTGAGGTTAGGACTCTATCAAATATTCTGTACTCTGCCCTTGGGTTTTTACGTCCAAGATGCATTATCTTGCACTTATCCACATTAAATGTCAGTTGCCACAACTCTGACCATTTTTCTAGTTTACCTAAATCATTTGCCATTTGGCCTATCCCTCCTGGAACATCAACCCTGTTACATATCTTAGTATCATCAGAAAAAAGACACAACTTACCGTCAAGACCTTCTGCAATATCACTAATAAAAACATTAAAGAGAATGGGTCCAAGTACAGATCCCTGAGGTACCCCACTGGTAACAAGCCCAGGCTTCGAATATACTCCATTGACTACAAACCTCTGTTGCCTGTCACTCAGCCACTGCCTTACTCATTCACCAGTATTGGAATCCAAACTTAAAGATTGCAGTTTATTGATAAGCCTTCTATGTGCAACAGTATCAAAAGCCTTACTGAAATCTAGGTAAGCAATGTCTACTGCATCACCCTGGTCTATTATTTTAGTTACCCAATCAAAAAAATCAGTAAGATTAGTTTGGCATGATCTCCCTGAAGTAAACCCATGTTGTTTCTGATCTTGAAATCCATGTGTTTTTAGATGTTTAACAATCAGATCCTTTAACAAGGTTTGCATTACTTTCCTCACTACTGAAGTAAGGCTTACTGGCCTGTAGTTGCCCGACTCCTCCCTACTACCTTTCTTGTGAATAGGCACAACATTCGCTAACTTCCAATCTTCTGGGACTACTCCTGTTAACAATGATTGGTTAAATAAATCTGTTAATGGTTTTGCTAGTACACCACTAAGCTCTTTTAATAAATTTGGGTGTATTCCATCAGGTCATAAATGTTGGAGAGCCTGCGGTCAAATTGGTACATTATTCCATGTATTAAAACGGAGTACAAGCTCAGCTTTGATTTTAGTTGATGTCACGTTTTTTTTTAAAGTAGATTTATTTTTATTTCATTTGAAAAATAAATATCTTGTTAGTTTTTGAAAAGCTTTCATTATAAGTCAAATGTGACTGTACATTACCTTGACAAACTGGGTCAGGAGAATTACTTAGGTTCTCCAAAGTTCTACAAGAACATTTTCCTACACATAGGTGTAAATGCTTATCAGATAAAGCTACAAAGAATAATATTTCGCAAGCCTACTGTAGATACTTCACATACATGGAATGTAAATCTAGCTTTTATATTGCCATTATTATTATATATTTATTAATGTTTTGCTTTCCTTTTTAGGCAACCAGTGTAGATAACCTAGCATTGCCTTGGATCTTATCTGGAAGAAATGCTACAAAAAGTCCAGTGACTCTTCTTGACCTTTGCTTTGGAAAGACAGACAACCTTAACCTGCTATATGTGGTAACGTATTATATTTCTTATTTAACTTCGAGAGAGATATGGAAAAAAAAACTGTAATTAAAAATTCTGCATATTGTATTTTTTTTAACACTTTTTTGATAACACCTACTACAAAGTGTTCTCCAGCTGTTCTTCACAACTGTACAACATACTCACTTGATAGAGGAATATTGGAGGGGAGTGATCTATCCCTAAGATATAGATGCAGATTGACAATGAAGCCAACTTGACATTGTTATATGCTAAGAGCAGGGGCGGGCTGGGACGGTGGGCAAGGGAGCAATTGCCCCCAATGCCGCCCTAAATCCAGGGCTGCATCCAGCAAAAAAGGGAAAAATCCAATTCCCCTGCCTCTGGCTGGGGACTCTGATTTTTCAACTTACCTCTCTTCCTGCAGCCAGTGGAGTCGCCCGGCCTCTCCTGGTGATGTCAGAAGAGGGGGTGTGACTTTCACCTCCTCCTCCTGACATCACCAGGAGTGGGTGGCCAACTCCACTGACTGCTGGCTGCTGCTCCATCTGGCTCCTGGCTCCTGCCTACCCCTCCCTGGCCTAAGGTAAGACTTTAGGTTTTTTTTTTTTTTTGTCTTGCTCAGCCTCTGTCCCTTCCTCTGCTCCTGCCCCCCCTCTCAGCTCCTGTCCCCCTTGCTCAGCCCCTTGCCCCCTTACCACAGCCCCCATAACATCTCCACTACAGCTCCTGTCCCCCAATTGCAACTCATATTACCCACACCATAGATATTAGGGCTGCCAATCTTTTAGACAGTGACCTTTCTCCCTTTGACACTTTTTCTGGTGCTTAGGTACTAAGTGGGGATTTACTAACACCCCATGCATTAAAGGGCCAGGACTAATCAAGCCTATATGAATATTGCAGACTTAGGTGTTTAGTAACTTTATCTCCTCACTTACCTTGGCATGGAAGTAGCCTTATAAGGCTAGTCCGGTATTTATTATTATTTGGAGTCAGTTTATTTTTGTGTTGATACTCTGGTTAAATTGTTCCATACCACTGGATGCTTTGGTGCCTACGTCTTTATCTCCAGTCAGCATTATATTCACAGTTTGTGAATCTTTTCTTCTTTGTTTCTGTTGCTTGTATCTAGGGTTAAGCCCCTGGGCATTGCTGGAGTGGCCTCCTGGTGCAAGGGATCAGTGTGGAGGTGGTGTATATTCCCTTTTACACCCATTTTCACACTTATCCCATTTCTTTCTATTTTTTTCTGTGTGTGTTACTGTCTGTCTATGTGTGTGCCAGTATGTCTGTCTATGTGTGTGCCAGTATGTCTGTCTATGTGTGTGCCAGTATGTCTGTGTGTGTGTGCCAGCCAGTATGCCTGTGTGTGTGTGTGTGTGTGTGTGTGTGTGCCAGCCAGTATGCCTGTAACAGTGTGTCTGTGTGACTGTCAGTGAGTGTGTGTGTGTGTTAGTGTGTGTCAAATCAGCAAGTGTGTGTGCCTGTCAGTGAGCGTGTCTGTTTAGTTGACTGCCGCCCCTCCCTCCTTTAAATCACATGGGAAAGGTGTTTTTACTCTCCTCTTGGTGCAATGGGCCACTTGACTGGATTTGCCCCCCAGGCCTAAAGCTGCCAGCACTCCCCTGGCTAGGAGACCTTGCTTTGGGAGGTATTTCCAAGCAGCACAAATTGGATAGGAGGGGGACAGGAGGTAAAACTTTAGTGCACCACCCAAAGACCTGGCATAAGGGAAGAGAAGACAAATAGTTCTTTATAACTCAAGTAGCATTTTTTGTAAAACAAAAAAAATGAGATTGCAATACCATTGGTTTTAGCGTAGCGGCATGTGTTTAACTGTCATGGTAACTAAACAGTTACAATGTTCAGTACTAGAACTATGAATTGTTGTCTTTTTGTTTGAACACAACTCAAGCTAGAACAACCTCTGATTACGATAACGGAGTAGTTTCACAAGCTAGAACAACCTCTGATTACGATAAGGGAGTAGTTTCACAAGCTAGAACAACCTCTGATTACGATAAGGGAGTAGTTTCACAAGCTAGAACAACCTCTGATTACGATAAGGGAGTAGTTTCACATGCTAGAACAACCTCTGATTATGATAAGGGAGTAGTTTGACAAGCTAGAACAACCTCTGATTACGATAAGGGAGTAGTTTCACAAGCTAGAACAACCTCTGATTACGATAAGGGAGTAGTTTCACAAGCTAGAACAACCTCTGATTACGATAAGGGAGTAGTTTCACAAGCAGCCTGGTTTACATATTTCTATGAAATTGCACCAAAACTGCTTTTTTAATACCATGTTTGTTGGTCACTGGGCTGCACGGCTGCTATGGGATGTGTTCCATTGATTACCTGTCTACTATTTGATTGTCAAAGCAATGTTTACTATATGACCTGAAAGTCAAAGGCCATTGCACAATTCCAATTTTTTTTTTAATTTCCCTCTGGAATTTTCCATTGACTGCCATTGATAAGCCTACATGTACACATAACCGATGAAACACAAATTTCTGGCCTCCATTGTCTATATCATGGGCGTGAGCTTTATAGAACTGAAGCAAATTGACGTTGACAGCCTGTGATATCCACTGATCTCACTTGAAAAACATTATTGCAAATTCCGTCTCAGCAGAAGTGCTTTCCTTCCTGAATAATTCATAGCCATCTCTTCTTCATATAGTGCACCTGCTGTCAGGATTTTACATTGCTTATTAAAATATGTGCAGCAAGCCTCACAATTAAGTCTTTTGAGATCTGCTATCATTTTGCTTAGATGATGTTTTACAGTGCATTATGTTAGGCCTAACAAAAGCAGGTAAATTTGCATCACAACGATATATTCTTCAAAGTAAATGCTGGAGCGCAGGTCACATCAAGGGTCAATCATGATAATATTTGAATACTAGACAGGAATATAAATGTATCTTTGCCTTGTAATAGCTTCCAGAGATTTTGTAGCGTGGTATGTTTTTAAATTTTTACTTTTACATTTTTTATACCAAGTCTTGATGTAATTGTTGAGGACAAGGAATGAGGTACTAAAGCCTCTGCTGCTGCTTATTCATTCTTTATTTTTTTTTAATGCATTTATATTCTTTTTTATAGTTTGACTTCGCTTTCATTAGACTAATTTTGGGATGGAGGTGGTGTGTGACCGGATAATCCTACAGTTTTTTTGTGCTTGTTATGATTCTAGGAAAATGCCCCAGAAATCTTACCTTTGAAATATTGCTTGCTGTGTGACTTTCATCATATCCTCCAGTGTTCACCGTTCCTACCCCTTGACCTCGTAATGGGGGCACTGAGCAGTATACAGCACTCTGATCCTGTCAGGAAACACAGTTTGTTTGTGTGATGCTGTGCACTTGCAGCAAAGTTCCTACAAGTATACAGATTAAAATGGTATGAGCAAGCAGTCTATTTTCACAAAGTCTAAGTACGTGAACTAGTTCATTTCCAATATTGTCACTTTTCTTTTTTAATGACCAGCCTATACGTGTAAAATATCTGTTGCTTCTGTATGTAGTGGCTGTTAATCAATTGTCAAATTTCACAATTAGCTACCGCTGCTGAAAGACAGTCTCTCTCATTATTCTTTACTGAAAGAAAAAAACGCTACTTAGTAACTGGTTTCCAACCCTGCTGCTACATATTAATGGATGCCACTTACCCTCAAACCTTGATGCCAAACTCTGGCCTGAGGAAAGAAGCTAATAGACCTATACAGACCCTATATCTAATACATATCAGTTATCCGGTATTACACTGAAACCCTCAAACATATATCAAAGTATATTAAGCCATTTCAAAATACAATAAAATAAATGAAAAGGCCAAACACATGATGTAAAAAAAAATATATATAATTATTCTTTATAAAATGAAATTGCATGTTTCATTTAAATGAACAATACATACATTACCCTAAAAATACAGAACAATCACCTGTTCCTTAGCAGGTCTTAAAATTAGGTAAATACAACCTGAGAAAAACAACACATGACATATTACACTATGTCATGATTTATTTAACAAAAATAACGCCAAAATTGAGAAGCCATGTGTGAAAAATGTACACCTCATGATTCAATAGCTTGTCGAACCACCTTTAGAAGTAATAACGTAAGATAATCTTTGTCTGTATGACTTTATCAGTCTCTCACATCGTTGTGGAGGAATTTTGCCACACTTTTCTTTACAACATTGCTTCAATTCATTGGGGTTTGCCGGAGTTTGTTTATGCACAGCTCTCTTAAGGTCCCTCCACAGCATTTCAGGTTGAGGTGTGGACTTTGGGTCATCGCAACAGCCACTCTGTTGTAGATTTGCTGGTGTGCTTGGCATCATTGTCTTGTTGTATGACCCAATTTCGACCCAATTCTCGAACAGGTTGTCTCACATTTGATTCTTGAATACTTCAGTATATAGAGGGGTTCATGGTCAACTCGATGATTACAAGGTTTCCAGGTCCTGTGGCTGTAAAACAAGCTGAAATCATCACCCCTCGATCACGGTGCTTGACAGTTTGTATGAGGTCTTTGGAATGAGATGCTGTTTTTGGTTTTCGCCAAACATGGCGCTGTGCATTATGGCCAAACATCTCCATTTTCGTCTCGTCTGTCCAAAGGACATTGTTCCAGAAGTCGTGGTTGTTCAGATGCAACTTTGCAAATCTAAGACGTGCTGGCATGTTCTTTTTAAAACTAACGATAGAAAACATTAGGGAAATCTGTTCTCCCCCTAAATGCACTCTGTAGAAACTGACTGGAAACCTTTGAATCGCTTTTTACATTTCTAACATTCAAGTATTATAAAGCAGTGTTGTTGGTTGTCATTCCCCACTTTCATTTTCTCTGCCCTTGAAAACCTGCCATAATTAGACTGTACAATCTTAACAACATGTATGCATATTGTATATACTAGTTATATTTTTTTTCTCCACTTTTTTCCCTTCTTTCTCAGTTAAAAAAAAATAAAAATGTTCATCAAGTGCTGAAATAGTTTGAAACATCCTTTATGGACTTCATTATAAAACATGCTGTTTTTCATTATTTCACAAAATTTATATTTATTTAAAAAACAGTCACGGGTGGTAGTGGTTACAATGTTTGTTTAAGCTTGTGGTATCTTTGCCAGTCCTAATTTACTATGCTTTCAATTAAATGTATTTATTTTTTAACTACTTGGGCAAGAAAGCACAATGTGCCTAGTATGAAGAAAACAATTACATTTTCTGCTTAGTATTTTAGTTTTCTGCTTTGTTTTTTTTTGTTACCTGAAATATATTAGGGGTGTATGTTGCTTGTCAGGATTTCTTCCCTTCCCTTCCATAGGGAATATTTAAACAGTTAACGTTAAATATTATTAACACATTAAGTGGAATTTGCTGAATGTGCTGAAATACATCTTACTGTGATTTCCCCAACATTAATTAGCCTTTGACAATTCTGATCTGTTTGTTTCAGTTACTATTGGCATTGTTTAATGAGTCCCACCTTTTCCTCTCTATAAAAAGAGATGTTTCTGTCTGTCCATCATAACCACTCGACTTATTATTTTTGTTGTTTGTTTTATTTTGTTGGTGGGGTGGGTTGTATTGTGAAACCATCTTAAGGGGTTCAACAAGAGCTGGGGCTCTTACAACGCACCACACGCAACCTCCCTGCTGCCACCAAGATAATGCACAAGTTTCACTTCTGACATCTATACAAATGTGTCCAGGATTGGAGAGCAATAATAAGCTGTGAGCACATGGGGTAAGGCTAGCTCAGAGCTCACAGCTATGACATTCAAGGGCCCATTTAAGATTTAAGAGCAGGGGTGCCACAAGTAGATTGCCAGCCATTACAAACTACATGTCCCATGAAATCTTACCAATAAAATCTTATAAGGCTGACAAAGCACCATGGGAAGTATAGTTCTGGAACAACTAAGAATCTACTTCCTGGCCACCCTGGTTGTTTTTAGTGTATAAATCGCAACTGTTGGCTGTTTCCAACCTTTTCACTTTCTGTAAACTGCTGATCTTCTATTCTGATAAGAAAAACAATTTCAAATTGGAGATGTTTTTCTTTAAAAACTGACTTACCTACAAAGGAATGTATCAAAACGTATGATTAGGAATTAATTAAAATGACATAAAAAATGAACAAAAAACCCAGCAAAAATATAAATGTTTATTTGAGGCTTTATTCAAAGAAGGTGCATTTACTGTAGTGTGACTAATGGCCTCTAGTTGTATTTATATTGGAGGGAACTGTCATACCCACTCATTCTACATAGACTGGATTATTATCTAAACCAGGAAGCACTGAGCATATACCCGCACGCCGTGGGCTAAAATATCCAAACATTAAACGTTCTCTAACTTGGCTATTTTTCAATTTCTGCTTTTTAGCCAAAAAAATGAAATTCCCTTGTTAATCCCAGTTTAGTAAATAGTACTGTGACTTGGGGTCATATCTTAAGTATTATAGAAGCATATAGATCATTGGCAATGTTTCATATTTCACATTTACTATCATAGTGCTCCAGGGTGACTTTTGGTTTCCAGAGGATGCACAGGAATACTGTGTTGTCACACTCACAAGAGAAGATACACCTTAAGGGGCTTTAACTACACAGAACTGTTTTATCTTATATGTCTAAGATGAAGGTCTTTTTTTTCAAGAAGCCCAGCATTCCCCACTAAATAATTGTTTTTAGTCTTCTACAGTTCATGCATGTGTCGACTTGCATAATATTAATACCCAGAAGATGGCACACCCAATGGCAACTTGCTAATTTTCTATGCACGCCCACCTATAGCTTTAAAACACTATTATTTGGTTCCGCAGGCCTTGGAACAGACTATTATTTTGCAAATATAATGTCTACTTACCATGTGGCAAATGTCAGCACCTGCTCAATCCAAAGCAATGTTGAAAGACTGTGTCTAGAATAGTTCCAGAATGCTGTGTAAAATAAGTAAATTAGCAATTCTATTATTTAGATTTTATGTCCATATTTGTGTAGACTTCCTTTAATTTCTGTAGTCGTACTTTGCATCATTATTGGTAAACCTTTGGAACCTACGGTGCATATTCAAGCACATGAAGATCTGAGATTGGCACTCAGTGTCTAATACGCCATGTACCCTGGAAGCCTAAATTAAATATGGAAAACCAAGGTAATGCTGATAAGTAAATACGTATGAGGCTTGGTTGGTAATACAGATATTAAATTTTTATTCCCTGTATTAAATTAGGTAAGGATCTACTGATATTAAAAAAGGAGGTGTACCTAGGTGACATGGCACTCTGTGTGAAAATCTATTTTATAACCACCCCACCCCACCCAAACCAAAAAACTAAAAAAGTGTCCCCTTCAGCAGCACCCCCAAGACCCTGTTGTTAGTGAAAATAGACTCACATGCTGACATTCACACACCTACACATTTTTGTATACACATGCATTCCTATACACATGTATACAGACACACATGTTGACATATATAAACACATACACAGACTGACACACATTAATATACACACACTGATTTATACACACATTAATATGCACACGCATACATGTATATCCATACGCATACACCAGTTTTTGTTGTTGTATTTTTATTATGATTTTGTCCACTCAGCCTCTCTTTTCTTGCCTTTAATGGGAGAGCTCGACTGTAACCTCAACCCTGGTGTCGAGTGGGGAAGTTAAGAAATCAGTGTCTGTACTGATTGCCCAGCTTCTTGCAAGCTCACTGCAACTCTGTACTGATGGTGGGACTGGGGTGACGTTTAACTGGGGCTCCAGTTTCAGTATAGGGTGCACAAAGGATATCATATGGCTATTCCCAGCAGCTCACTCGTGCCAGCTCCGGAGCCACAGTGACAGACCAGGCACCTGCCGTGTGACAGCTTTGCAAGTAATGTTTTGTGTGCTCTATGTACCCCTCTGCTGTCTTTCACTTTGGGGAGAGCACTGCGGTCATTCGAACGCAGCAGAAAGCCTTAATACAGTGTGGTCTCATGGTGTGGCTTATTACCAATGTTGTTACTCGAAACAGATGATTACTGAACTCATTCTTGTTTTTGTATTTTTTTCATAAAATTAAATAATGCATCTTCTGGGTAATACCTCTCAAATATTTTTCTTAATATGTCAAACAATTGGTAAATGGTTTGACTACTTACATTGGGAGGGCACCAAGACACTCCTGGTACCATAACTACTACAATGTGCTTTAGTGGCTACGCTGCTTGGATAGCTCAATTAAATGGAGCCTGTGTAATAACAAAAATGAGGCAGTTCTTATTTAGCATGTGGCAGAAGCAACACTGGCAGAAAGGGAATAGTCATGTTTTTACAGTTTTTAGTGTGCATTCATATAAATGGTAGGAATAATTAATGGGTGTCATAAAAACAGAAAATGAATGACTAGTAACTCCGTTTTAATCCTTAGTAACGTGGTCAATATGAAAATATATTGACCCCATGGTTAAAAATAGTTTTAACATTTTTATTTGAACTCGCACATACACGAAAATTAAATGAAAGAATCAATACATTTAATTGGAACATAGACACAAATAAAACTAAAATACCTTTACCTTAAAGCTTAAAATATTAAAAAATAAATAAAAACCTCCTAACTTTCCCAGGGTTTGGCAATTTTCCTAAAATACAAACTTAACAAAATATATTATAACATGTATGACTTTGTTGAATTTCAACACTGTTACTATAGCAACCTTAACACAAAGGAAACACAGGTATTTATCTTAGCCACATGTGGCTAGAACATTCCTTTTAATAATATACCCCACCAACCCTTTTACACAGTGGGTGTCAGAAGAAAGTCCCCCAAGCACCAGGTCGATAAACTGAAGATTCTCTGTTTTCCTCACCTGAGAGAGCACAGAATATTTCTTATCAGACAGTACTCTTTGTAGATGGTGTCCAGTGCTACCTAGTTCATTTTTGCTATTAGTATGCAGTTGTTTGATATATGGGCAATTATATTTCTCATTTATATTATTTCAATCAGGTAACCTTTGTGGTTCTTAGCATGATTTTCTTTGCGGCCCAAATGATTAAATTAATAGAGACCCATTGTTAAAGTGTATTATAATCATCATTCAAATTAATTTAGCAGAGCACCTAATTCGACTCAAAATTATTGAATCAAAATTATTTCCACAGCGCTTGGGAAGTCAATACCGCTACAGAAAACAATTTAATTGGAGCTTGAAAAGAGTGGTACCCTGCTCTTTCCTCCACTCCATCCTCTCCTTTTCCTTCGTCTATTAATATTTTTACAATTTTTTATTTATTTATTTAAATTAAACATTATGAGAGCAGGACACTGATCTTGATACAACAGGTTCATATTGTCTCAATAATAGCCATCTTAAGGAAAAGTAATACGCTTTGTATTTAAAGAATTCTAAACTCAACTGCAGGACATATACTATAGATTTTATTATTAGCATATTATTTAATTACTATCTCCTTTATGATATATAGTTCATTTAACATGTTAAGTGTCTAATCTTAATAAATCTAAAAAATCTCAGGCACTCACTGTGATATGTTCAATGCAGTTTTTATTGGATCTGCAACGTTTCGACCTGTACCCAGGTCTTTGTCAAGCTTGATAAAGACCTGGGTACAGGTCGAAACGTTGCAGATCCAATAAACATATCACAGTGAGTGCCTGAGATTTTTTCATTTATGTAGATTCTATGGGGCTTGCTGACCCATGCTCAGTGCACCCTGTGTTAATTTTTTTTGATTGAGTGCAACCCTCCTTTTTCTCTTAAGTGTCTAATCTTAGACTGATGCTTATTATGTCTAATGTGTACACTGTAATTTTATATCTGCCTCTTTTAAATACAGATTTTAAAAGATTAAAAAATAAATGGAGGGGGCACAGCCTGATTGTACATTTTCCAATAGAGGTGCTGATTGTAAGTCTTAATTTTATACCAAATGCTCTCTGGACACACACAATAAAATGTATTTTTACACCCTGGCATTGTTTAAAGTTGATACTTTTGTTTTTTTACAAATGGGATTATCCTTGACAATATTTTTTTTTTTTTTTTTTTCGAAGCACCTGCTTACAGTCAAACAGTGGGATTCTTTTGTTCTGATGTCAGTGGTCTTGTTTAAAATCTTTGTGTTTACTTTCTTATTTTAGGCTGCTCTTCTCTAAACCATCTATCTTCGTCCACACTTTGAAAGTTGTTGGTATATTCATTTCAAAAGCCACACAGTCTTGCTATTTGTTGTTTTTAATACTTAGATCATAATCCCTTCACGTGTTGCTTACAGATGGCTTTCAGAGAGGCTTGTCGAGAGCCTGGAGTGTGAAGGATGCTTTAATTCCTCGATGTTTGTTTTATTGTCAACAGATATCGGATTGTTTCTGCAGGTGTTTCTTCAAACTATGCCTGGAATTCTACCTTTAATAACTACCTCATAATTCCTTGCAATGTTTCTTGTGTATTTACCAGTAGGGTGCTTTTCAAACTATAGCTTGGTTGCTGCCTCTAAGTGTGTGCTTGGAGATACTCTGGAGAGGTTTACTGATTCTTCAACTGTCTAAGATTTTGCTAGGATTTTTCTTTTTACTGTTACAGGTGAGATTCATCTATAGGAAAGGTTACTGATTGTACAAGGTTTGCTTTCCTGTTGGTATTTGGTAAGGCATTTGATTAGCTAGGTACTTGCTATTGATTGCTGGTTAATTAGCTTCTGTTTGCAGATATGCATAGGCCTACCCAGGTATTAAACATTCCTAGTGAGTGGTGCTTTTAGGAGTTATACAAGGGGTGTGGTCATTAGTTTGGCTAATATAGCTTGGTTGCTGCTTCAAATTGTGTGCTTGTATTTAAAATGGAGGTAATTTGAGGTATACAGGAGGACATCATTTTTTAAAGTTAAGATTTGTTTGATTTAAAACAAGGATTTTTTTTTGTTTAAATTAAAATAAGGATTAGTTAGATAAAAAAAAAAAAAAGGAAGGTATCTAGAAGAGGATAAAGGTCTAGCTGACTGCTAGCTGAATATTTTTGTTCAGTATTTACAGTTGAAAATGAAGGAGCCTCAGTTAGGAAAAAGGACAGATTAGTCATTTGTTACATGTGGGTTTACAGTGGAAGAGGTTCTATTTCAACTATCAAAAGAAAAGACAAATAAGTTAATAGGGCCTGATGGAATACACCCAAAGTTATTAAAAGAGCTTAGTGATGTACTAGCGAAACCACTAACAGATTTATTTAACCAATCATTGTTAACAGGAGTAGTCCCAGAAGATTGGAAGTTAGGAAATGTTAGCAAATGTAGTGGGGAAAGTAATGGAAACTGTGTTAAAGGATAGGATTTTTGCACATTTGAAATCACACGGATTTCAAGATCAGAGACAACATGGGTTTATGTCAGGGAGATTATGCCAAACTAATCTTATTGATTTTTTTAAAGGGTTACTAAAATAATAGATCATGGTGATGCAGTAGACATTGCTTACCTAGATTTCAGTAAGGCTTTTGACACTGTTGCAAATAGAAGGTTATCAATAAACTGCAAGTTTGGATTCCAATATTGTTGAATGGATAAGGCAGTGTCTGAGTGCTAGGCAACAGAGGGGTGTAGTCAATGGAGTATATTCGAAGCATGGTCTTGTCACCAGTGGGGTACCTCGGAGATCTGTACTTGGACCCATTCTCTTTAATACTTTTATTAGTGATATTGCAGAAGGTCTTGATGGTAAGGTATGTCTTTTTGCTGATGATACTAAGATATGTAACAGGGTTGATGTTCCAGGATGGATAAGCCAAATGGCAAATGATTTAGGTAAACTAGAAAAATGGTCAGAGTTGTGGCAACTGACATTTAATAAGGATAAGTGCAAGATAATGCATCTTGGACGTAACCTCAACATCTGAGGAAAGGGATTTAGGGGTAATTATTTCAGATGACTTAAAGGTAGGCAGACAATGTAATAGATCAGCATGAAATGCTAGCAGATTGCTTGGTTGTATAGGGAGAGGTATTAGCAGTAGAAAGAGGGAAGTGCTCATGCCATTGTACAGAACATTGGTGAGACCTCACTTGGAGTATTGTACGCAGTACTAGAGACTGTATCTCCAGAAGGATATTAATACTTTAGAGAGAGTTCAGAAAAGGGCTACTACACTGGTTCATGGATTGCAGGATAAAACTTACAAGGAAAGGTTAAAGGAGATTAACATGTATAGCTTGGAGGAAAGACGACAAGAGGACATAGTCTTAAATTAGAGGGGCAAAGGTTTCAAAATAATATCAGGAAGTATTACTTTACTGAGAGGGTAGTGGATGCATGGAATTGCCTTCCAGCTGAAGTGGTAGAGGTTAACACAGTAAAGGAGTTTAAGCATGCATGGGATAGGCATAAGGCTATCCTAGATATACGATAAGGCCAGGGACTAATGCAAGTATTTATAAAATTGGGCAGACTAGATGGGCGGAATGGTTCTTATCTGCCATTACATTCTATGTTTCTTTCAGTCGTGTTTTATTGCGTCTAAACGCGCTTGTTATTATTACACTACATCATTTCATAAACAGCCGTTGTATTATGTAAATTATGTGTAACAGCTTAAAAGGAGTTTATGCGTTGCTGATGAAAGGTTCTTTTTCTTTTTATTATCAACTCTGTATCGGTGAATTTACCTGTGACTTTATCTGTAAAAAATGTAATTATTTGGTTGCTACAAGTAGTTTACCTTTCAGATTAATTTACAGAACCTAAACCATAAAACACAAGAACTAATCAATGTTTTTTCTTGTTTCCGTTACAATAATTTCAAAGAGTGCAACACACACTATATAAAGTCACTTTACATTACCTGCAGCTGTTTTGTGTGCATATCCTGTATGTCTCTCTAAATTTCTAATTGTAGACGTTCAATTTACAGCTAAAGTCCAAGAGCACACAGTGTGGTGCGATCAGAAGCCACCATCCCCAATACAACTCCTTCTTCCCAATTTTAATTCCTCAAGTAATTACCCATTAGCCCCTCATGCTCTGTGCGGATTGGTTGTTGACCCACCCCCCCCCAGATTTTTGACCATGTTCCCTCTAGCCAATTCAGTCTTCTACACTGAAACATTGAGATGTTAATTACTCGCAAATTGCATATGTCAACAATAAAATAGAGCAAAAATATTTATCTACGTATTTTTATCTATTACTTTTTTATTAAGACACAACTGCTGTAAGCATTTTTATTATTGCACCACCCATGTAAGGGCAGATGGATATAGCTCCAAATTGGGATCTAGGGGTATTTTTTTTGTTTCTTTGTTTCTTCTGCTGATAATGCATTGGTGCTGGGCGACATTACATGCTGCAAATGAAGACATTCTATTTGTGTCATTTATTTTTGCAATCGCAGATCACTGATCTCTGTCTCCCCTATCGAGAAATTACTTGCGCATTTATTTCTAATAAATTAAAAACTGAACTTTCTCATGCATTATAATGGTTCAATAATTTAAACTTTTAACTACATTTTGGCCAATAATTTATTCAATATTTATCTAGTTTACTACTGTTCATTAGTTTAAATAGGTCATAGGTTCACCCATGCATGGGCAAAGCACAATTTTAACTGTTACATAGAAACATTGTCCATAATTATATCACACATATAAATGGAGGTGAAATATGAGATAATTAAAATGGTAAAATATTAAATTTTGTTGTTTTATTAAGCATACAATGTAGCAAAGATTATTATATTGTAGGCTTTGTTCTCACGGTTTGGACAGCAGGAGAACCCATTTTTGTTTTTCTTCAATGCAATGCATATTTGTGTCGTTCTATTACAAATTTAAAACTATATACAGAAAAAGAAAAAATGTAGTGATAGTGCACAGCTATGTAAATGTGTTACTTGCATTATTCACAAATGATCTAAAAAAGATAGAAAAAAAATCACAAGTGTAGCGGAATGGGCTTCGCCACAGTACCTTCATGTTGCTAAGGGCTGTCCACCCACCGTTTTTTTGTTACTTTATTTCGGTTACCTTCCCTGTTGGTTAATTGTGGAAACAAGTAACAATATAATATTGACCATGGGGTTCGACAAACGAACCAACTACTGAACAACCAGGCCACGCAGGAGAGGAGTGTGGCATTAACTGACCTCCCTAACTTGGTTCACACTATTTTAATTCCCAACTGCACAAACTAACTGGGTGTTCCCTGGGTGGCTGCCGTTTGTCATACGAACACGTGGCGGCGGCCATCTTAGCATACGAATTACACCAGCGGTGTTTGGTCGTCGAGTGTCTGGAACCTAAATCAGACACGCGATGGCATGAACCTCGCATAAGTTTGTGGGAACTCAAGGGAACAGAGCGGTGTTTGGTAAAAAGAATCATACGAACGAGAGGAATTAAACGAACAAAGACATGAACCATTCTGTTATATATTTTCATGCATTTCAACCTCCTGAACGGAGACTTCCATAAACTTTCGTACCTCTGAACCGATCTGGGTGATTTTTCAGTGTGTTGCTCCCCCAGATCGGGGCTTTCAGGGGATGTTTGAATTATGAATGTAGGATATGTTTTTTGGGGTATTTCCAGAAAAGTACGAAAATTTAGATTTTTCTGTTTTGGGAAAATTGAGTTGATACAGTAATTAACTCAATTGTCCCCTGAGCAGAGGGGAGGGATTGTGTGTAATGACCTTACTCTGTGTTTATTGGTTGTTGTATATTTTTATCGGTGCCCCACAAGGTCCACCTGGGTGGTAACCTTTGGGTCAAAACCTGCATAAAGGCCAGCCTGGCCATTAAAGGTTCGGTTCTGCTCCTAATACTGAGTGTCGTCCAGTTATTGGGAAGGATGATGGGATATTCGTGTATTATCTTGTACTTATGCCTGCTGTCTTGAAGTTTCCTGTTTGTTCCCGAGTAGCTGTTGAAGTAGAGAAGAAGCCCTGCTACCACTGCTCTCCGCTACATCATAGCTTAGTATATCTGTAAATATGAGTGATAAATAGCACACAGTTATACATTCTTGTTCTTCTGAGCCACAAATATCAGCTAAGATAAAGAGCAGGGTATTGTATACTCCAATACAATTTATGTTACCTCCTAGATAGAAAGGCTCTCAAACAGAAGTGATATAGACCAAATCATGGTATAATTATAAACATTTATAAAGCACTCACATTAGTATCTTACTTCTCAGTTTCCAGGATCATGCACGATTAAAATGATTGCAATGAGACTATCTTTTCACTAAAACAAAACTCTATAGAGGGTATATATGACCCACCTTATGTGACTGTGTTTGTGCTGATCTGATAGAGTAGTGATTCCTGGACTGGCTCACTGAGTCATTGCCTGGATTATCTCTTCAATATCACCCGCTCAGATGGGCAGGAATCCAATAGGCAGCAAGTCTTGTTACTGGTAGTTGGGCAGCACAACGCTGTGCAGATAGGGTCCATGTGTTGGGCGACTCACTTGACTCACGAGTCAACAGTGAAAGCTCAATGAGCCAAATGTGGCTCCTAAATCATCGTAATTAGGAACTGTGATGTAGATAAGTGTTCTCTCCAACCTGTTCTGCCCATATGTTGTTTAAACACAATGCGGGAGATTTATTAAGGCTAATGCAGGTTATATTATGGGGTCTATTTTGCCCTTAAAATCTCCACCCTTCCGATATGAAATATGCACACCACAGACAACTAATAAATTGTTTATTGAACTATAAACACAAATGCTTCCAATTGATGAAAAACAAAAAGAAAATAAGCAGAACAAATACAAACAAAATCTCTCAATATTCAAGAGAAATTCCATATGTAGACTAAGACTCTCTTACAGTAGCTTTTTGGTGTATCTCTTCATATGTGAAACACAGATCATGCCACAAAATGTATGGCGGTTTATTTTTATTTTTTATCAAACTGGAATACTGACACAGCATTATTTTTATTGCCAAGAATGTTATCCAGAGCTTGAATAGGTGTATTTTTCTAGATGCTCAATGATGGGGATCTACACAAGGTGTCATTGACCCAAACATTCTATACACACATTCTATGGCACACTAAAGCATGGCAACTTTTTATAATGAATGGAAATGCTGGATGCATTTGCCCCTATTAAATTTCTACTTAACCTGGCACTAAACTGAACTCACATTTAGTAGAAAAAGAGTCTTTGTACGTGCATGATTAGATTGCATCTGTAACAATGTTTATGCTTTGTGTCTTATTACTTTTGACAGAGTGCTTTGGAAGGAAAACTTAGCACATTGTTCAGACACCTGCATGCTACAAGACAAACATTGAGCCTTATTTTAGCCCCTGGGCCAGAGTCTCCGGAGTCGAGTCATCACATACTACCGACTGTTTTTTATGCAAGGTTAATAAATCATTTGACAAGATGCAACCAGTCCTTAGAGGAATGCTGCCAGGATTTGCTCACTATGACACTGATTGTACCATCTGCACCTTGGGTGAGTAGATGCTGATTTTTTTCTCGATTTAAAATGTATGTAAAGAAATAGAAGGCAAAATACCTTTTTATAATATTAATATAACATGCACTTAAAAAATAGATGTAAATGTATTTCATTATTTTTTTTTCAATACTTTTCATGTATTCTTGCCAATGTTACAGGTATGTATTAAAAGAAGTAGGGCAGATTGCATTCTTCACGTATGATCGTTCCTGTTTAACCCCTTAAGGACCAAACTTCTGGAATAAAAGGGAATCATGACATGTCACACATGTCACGTGTCCTTAAGGGGTTAAACAGGGACAGCTCCAGTATTTTATTTTATTTTTTAAAGCTAAAATAGCAGATTTGCATTTGTTAATTGTATGTGTCCACTTACTGCACCCTGTTGACAATTGAGCCAAAATATGGTCTGTTTTTTTTCTTTTACTGGTTGGAATTTTACTGACACTAAAGGAACTGTAAAAAGTAACTGGAAGTTCTGTTTAGAAACTTAAGAGACCTTTTGGGGTTGAATTTACCGCCAATGTTGTAATATAAATTTTAAACTTATCCAAGTGTCAAGAGATGACTCATCAGACCATATTACGGTTTCCTCTACTAAGTGGTCCAGATTTTACGCTCCTTACGCCAGTTTATGGGTCTGTACTTTGAACTTTGCCAGCCCTGTGAAGCATACAATGTCCCATTTATGTTTAGAATTAGTCACAGAAGTGCTCATTCTGTTCTATTTTAATGTTTGAGACTGCACTTGCCCTGTGAGCATGATTCATTGTTCCTTGTAAAAAAAAAAAAAAAAAATACATGTAGGATTATATCCACTTTTTTGCTTATCTCAGGGTGTAGCCCGACCCTGCTGAGGAGGAGCCGGAAGGAGTAGAAATCCCATTTTTATGAGGGGGCAATGAATGTATTCCAAACCTGGCAGGAAATGCACAATGTAAAATATTTATGTACACATGTTGTAACCAGATCATATCATCTTGGTGAGATCACAAAACATGAAATGTTTAATACATCATGCCTCAAAAATAACATTTCAAATCACTTCCAAACTTTGAAAGTGAATGACCGTTCTTTGAACTTACAATATACATTGCAAGTATGTTATTCTTACAACTCTCTCTTGCAGCCTATCTGATCAGGTCAGGTAATAAATATTACTGGACAAACAGTTGTTGGATCAGCGCTTATTAGCCAGCTAGAAGCTAAGATAAATTGAAGGTAGTCCACAACCTAAGGGTATGAAGTTCCCTCACAGACCATCAAAGAGAATAGAGTACAAAAAAAAAATAAGTTAGGTCGCACCACAGTAAAAACAATAAAATAATATAATGATATAGAACCAATAGTATACTTACATACAAAAGTTATAAATGGGGAATAGAATAGTCCTGGTTAAAAGGCATATAGATAAAAAGTCCAACTTAACTGAGGAACTTTGGTGTGATATCGTAAATACAGTGTGATATGAATCTGTTTGTCGTAAATACTAAACTAAAAATATTTACTACAAACAGATCCGTATCACACCCAAGTTCCTCAGTCAAGTTGGACTTTTTATCTATATGCCTTTTAACCAGGACTATTCTATTTCCCATTTTATTTTTATTTTACTTTTTTTTTTTATAATAAACATTACTGGACCTCAGAGATCACTCATAAATTATCTTACACTATTTGGTTTACAAACAAGAAAAAAAAATATGCCTCAATTACTGTACCATTTTACGGTATTTTCCAGAAAACAACAAAATGTCTATTGCGGCACTTCTATTGGGTAACCATACATCCACTAAAAGCAGCACATTTATTGACAATACTTTTACAGTGAACAAAGAATCGCACCACTTTCACAATATTTTTTTCAAGGAACAATGAGTCACAGAGATGTGGAATTTATATCGCCCAACACCAGGGACATGCAGTTCCGGGCAAGCAGTTTTTCTTTTCTTTTTAGCCGTGCTGTGGGCCGCTTATGGCCACCGGGATATAGCACGGCATTATATCTTAGCGGCCGTCAATCTGCGACTGAAGAAAATAGAAGGGAAACTGACTGCTAGACTACTGGACAATGAGGGCTACTGGTAATGTGAAACATGGAATGGGGCTGTACTTTATGTGGGTCAGTGTGTGAGTTTATGGAGTGTATGGGTCTAAGAGTGTGTTTGTGGGTCTGTGTGTGTTGCAGTGTAAAAAAAGGAAAGGAAATGGGTGTGGGTAGGTTAGTGAGAACAAGGTTTAATTAAACAAATTAAACAATTTCTACGTTAATTCTTTAGAGTATTATGCATATATGCATATATGCATGTACGCATACAGTAACGTTAATAAAAACATTCTTAACAGCTATATATACTTACCTTTTACTAAAGTATAGCAGTGGCAGCTATCCCTTTAAGGCTCCTCATGACTAGCCTCTTTTACTTTCAGTATATCGAACAACATACAAATGGGATTTCAGTTTATCCTACATAACAAAAGTAATTGGAAATAATAGTGAAGTATTGTTACATACAGCCAGTACACACACATTACATGCTGCCAACACCAGACATCGGCCAACAAGACGTCCAATGTCTGACTGGATAGTGTGGTAATTATTTGCTGGATACTTCACCCATGGGCTGCAAGAAGGCAATTAGGGGTCAACAAATGGCTTGCAAATGGTAGTTTGAGACCCCTGTCCTAAATAATACTGCAGATGTTCTAGTTAATATTCAATGGCTTTTGCTTCTTTTTTTTAATTGCCACATCTGATGACAACTAATATTTCACAACAGCAGGAGCATTTGATTCTAACCATACATTACCACTGAACTTGAAGAAGAATTTTATTAAAACGAATAACTTTACTGAGCCATTGCTCAGTATTTGATGCGATGATATATATTTGTAACATACAGAATTATTTGTATGGTCCTTTCTTTCATCATATACTTCTGGCCTTCCATTGCGCAAGTAACCATAGAATAATTTCACACTGTAAATTGCATTCTGCAAGATACCAGAGGTCATGTATACTGAGGAAAGCTATTATGTTATGTTATTTATCATATTTATTTGTCTTGATAAAAATTTGTGTGTGTGTGTGTATATATATATAATATGTTTTTGAAATATGCAGCTTCTGTGTGTTCCCCCAGAATTCCCAGTTTTTACGTCGTGACACTAGGAGCTAAAGAAATTAAATATCCTGTTGTGCTTTTCATATTCTGTCCTTTGTTTTTTATGTTTCCTTTGTTTAATTTGTTTTAGAAAAGATTCATAATGACTTCACACTGACTCTTTAATTTAATCATAGTGCGTTAATGAATTATAGAAATTAGCACAATGCAATAGGAAAAAAATAACACATCTGTTTCAATACTATTTAAAGTTTGGAATTACTGAATAAATAATGGTCTAAAAAGAGCTAAATAGCAGAGCATTAAATTCCTAATCTCAGTCCTATGGGCACAAGTATAATATGTAATTTCAGTTTATATTAATCTTTAAGTATTTTTGCTTTTAATTCTCTGTCCCCACATTCGGACCTCCAGGTGAATTTTGGCAGCATTGGGGATGGATAGGGGAGTGCACGTCTAGCAAATACACACTCCACTGCCATTATAACACCACGGAAGCATCATGGTAAAAACTATTACAGGAGAGAGCACTTTCCCAAGATGTTACACACCTTTATAAGGCTGAGTCATTGCTTTTTCATGCCTGCGAACAAGGTCTACCCAGCTGTCTCTTCGGGCTGCTGGAGGTGCATGATATGGAGAGGACACTAATGCAAATTTGGTGGAAGTGCTCAGCTATTCAAAACTTTTGGTTTCAAGTGCAATATCTGATGCACTGAAGAGGTGGTGAATATGGGTATCCCTAAGACACCAGAATTCTTGTTGTTATTATTCCACCGAGAGCAGGTTCCACTGGATGTGTATGTACTCCTTCTGTACATATTAACCTCTTAAGGACACATGACGGAAATATTCCATCATGATTCCCTTTTATTCCAAAAGTTGTGTCATTAAGGGGTTAATTGCCGCTCAATTAAGCATAGCCAAAGCATGGAGAGCATCGGAACCTCCGGGCTAGATGAATGTTATTAATGGATTGGAAACTAGCAAATCCTGGTATACCATGTCTTCTTACCTCTCTTATTCAGAGATTTTTTATGCTTTGATTTAATTTGATTATGTTTTTGGTTTCTTTGTCTTTACATGTGGTATTCTGTTGGATATTTTAAGCAATCATGGAGTCTCCTTCAATTTCAGCAACATTTCTGTAAAGCATCTTCATGATGCTTCATGAAGAAGAGATACAGACTACTGAATTACTTGACCCTTCGTGTGACACTAAGCACTACCTGTGGTTATGTTTACCTTCTGTGATGTCTACGGAAACCATAGTAAAAATTAAGGAAAGAAAAAATAGCTGATTTGGAAATATTCTCCATCTCTACTATTGTCATAGCTTGAATATTTTCGCTTCAGGTTTACAGTTAAGTTTTTAGAGAACTCAATTCAGTGTTCAGCCAATGCAATGCTTCTTTATGAAAAGAGTTGGATATTAGAAGCGCATCTGCAGTGAGTGCGGCGCTAGTCCTATCATATGCTGAATGAATATGAATTCAATGCTTCTCTATGCGCAGCATTTGATGGCTGGGGCAGAAGCATTCCTTGTCAGGGGGCTTCCCTCCGGTATTGTGTGTTTTTTTCCCCTGTGTTTCGTATATTGTACCCGCTCCCCGTTCAGCAGTGCTCATGCAAGAGGAACTCCTTTGACTCCTGACCGGGGACCACCCCGATATCCCATTTAGAACGCTGGTTAGAACTTTCCAGTAGAACGTTCTCACCTCGGACATAATTGCGAAACCTCAAGGGAAGCAATTAATGGGCGCTCCTCTA